AGTCAGCTTCCTTGGGTTGAGGGCTCAGTTCCACAAGACTTCCCCCACTACAGACAACAATTGCAAGGAATAGTTTGTTTGCCTACGCTTCAGACTGACTGGCTACAAGTCAGAGGGGCTCCCACTACAACTCTCTCTTCAGGTTTGAATATACCTGCGAGGATGGCTCACAGAATTCAGGGAAACACTTGACTTATGTTTACTATTTTATCATAAAGACTGTTACCAAGCACACAGATGAACAGGCAAATGAAGAGATGCATTGGGCAAGAGATGTGGGAAGGGGTCTAGAGCTTCCAGGCCCTCTCCAGGTTTTCCTCCCTGCGGGCACTTCCACGTATCCAGCATCCTGGACACTCTCTGAACCTGGTAGTTCAGGGTTATATATACTTTAAAGCAAAGTCCTCTAATTATGTCTTTGACAGTAGACAGTAGGTGGATCTGGATTCCTAGCCCTGAGAATACCAAAGCTACAGGTCCAAAATGTGCGGTATTCTCAACAGAGTTAAGAAGGGTAGGAACTCAGGGTGTTATGAGGCAGAGAACATGTGGAATTCACGCATTCCACTTACCAATTTTGTAAATCATCCAAAACAGACCCTAAGAGTCTTTCAATATGGGAAAAATTCAATTCCTGGTTTTAAAGATTTAAAAAAAATGAAGAGTACCAAAAATGTTATGTTGATTCTCTGCGTTTTTCTCACACCATCTGAAGCCTAAGCTGATTATCATATCAACTCTCAGCAGCTGAAGCTGCAGTTTAGGGGTAGCCTATGTGTTGCCACCCAACTATTGTCTTTGGCACTGAACTTCTTGAACATTCCATACATGTTTTCCAAATAATCATGATCTAACAACCAGACAGAATCATTTCTGTCATGTTCATCAAAATGAACTGCAAAACTGTTGAACATATCAAGTACTTTCTTTTGTCATGACCCCAAAAGCACACCAACAACACGCTTTTATTTTCTGACTTTGCCACACTGAACAGCACCATGGAGTAGACCATGGCATTCTGCTGCCGGCTCTGGCATCACAGCACACTCTGTGTGCCAGGCCCCGCTCCCTGTCACCTACAAACAGCAGCAGCAGTGGCAACTCCTGCATTCCTCTAGGCCCAGCTTCTCCTTTTCCAATTCAGCAGCCACTACCAGTTCAGGAATTGTTATGGAGGCTTCATCATGTAGGCATAGTCAATAATCACCTTAATCTCCAACCCCTTCTCCCCTTCCCAGAGGATGAGGTGGAGTTGAAGGTGCTAAGCTTCTAATCATGGCTTGGTGTTTCTGGTGACCAACCCACATCCAGGAGCCCACCAAGAGTCTCCTCTCTAGAACAAAAAATGTTCCTATCACGCAGGACATTCCAAGGGATTTAAGGTGCTGTGTGTCAGGAAACCAGCTTAAAACCAAAGATTAGAACAAGATTCTCCCAGCAGTATCTACAAGGGCTTAAGGAGTTCTGTCTCAAGAACCAGGGACATATATATTTCTTATTATTTCACATATCCTGATTGCAATAAATATGCTGTGCCACATCTACAATTTCCTCTTTCACAACAAAGATTAGCAAATTCAGACAATTTAAGTAACTGTTTTCCTTAACATTCCCAAAGGGAGCCATTTATATGCAAGTTAAATCATTCTTCTGTCTTCACCTGAGTCACAGGGAAACTGCACCCACCTCCTATCATCTACTAGAACTGGACCTGTGTCTAGCACAAACCAGTGAAACCGAAAGAACCTCTCTCTCTTTTGGCAGCTTATTTGAAAACTGAAAGCTGTGGAGCACACCAGAGACTAATATGGAAGATATTGTTCACTCTATATTGGCAAATAATTTCACAAAAACAATAGAGTAACAGACCTAAATGCTATTAACTGAAAGATTTCTCAGTAACAATCACCATTTTTCAATTCATCCAAGATTCTCTTCAAAAATCATCCTTCTGAGCATAAATGGGGGTTTACTGGTTAATGTCAGAGTTCAAATCTCTGGTGTATTAAGTGAAAGAAAACAGAAAATGAATTGGAACATTCAACTTGACACTTGAAACTGTCTTCCCCCTCAAAAGAACTCCCAACTATTCCAAAAGCAAGCAGAAGTCAATTCTAGACATCTGACTTTAACTTACTCTTCAAGAGACTCTGGCTCCATGTCGTCTACGATGAGTAGCTTTGTTTACATTTCAAAAATTTTACATTTTCAAAATTATGGCTAAGGTTGGACGATGTTACAGTTTTGACATAAATCTCATACAAAACTTTAAACACAGATTAGCAGTAAAGATCTATATATGAGTACAACTAGCCGGGCTCGGTGGCTCAGCCTGTAATCCCGCGCCTTTGGGAGGCTGAGGTGAGTGGATTGCCTGAGCCCGCGGGTTCGAGACCCACCTGGGCAGCAAGACCTCATCTCTACAATAAATCAAAAAATTAGCCGGGCGTGGTAGCGCGCGCCTGTAATTCTAGCTACTTGGAAGGCTGAGGCGGAAGGATCGCCAGAGCCCAGCAGGTCGAGGCTGTGGTGGCCAGGAGCAGCCACTGCATTCCAGTCTGGGCAACAGAGTGAGACTCTGACTCAAAAAAAAAAAAAAAAAAAAAGAGTACAACTGATTCACTGCTAGTCTGGAGATTAGAGTAGGAAATAATTTTCTCCCCCAACTACAACAGATTTGGGAAAGGAGAAAACTGCTTCCGATTTTCTTGGAAAACTTATTTTAATCTAATGAGTGAGTGGACTTTCATATTTGTATCGAAATACTTATGTATAATTATCAATCTCAGTATCTGATATCATCAAATGCATTTATCAGTCTAGAGCTTTAATGACAGAAACATCTTGATAGTTAACTTTGTCATTAGGAGTGGTCATGAAATTCTGTAGCCACACAGATACATTAGTAATTAACAAACAGCAAATGAACTGTGGTTTAGTGATAAAATGGCACATCACATAGCAGTGAAAATAGTCAGTTCTCCTATAGTGCTTGTTTTGAACACATGAATTGGTTCCAACACCAATGTTCCTTAACATTAAGGAACAACCGGAGCATAACACAAATTTTGCACTTGCTTATACATAAATTTGGTGGTGAGAAGCACTCGATGCAAAGAGAAGACTGCACTCAGATGAACAAAGCCACTTAGGGATACATAAGACACATACATGCACACACCTCAAAAACATATCAGCTACTTAAGCTCTCCATATGTGTGGAGTGACATCCACCCACATTTGCTGTTACAACTTTATATCCAATTTCAGATAACCCTTAAACTGCAACTCTTCCACTGACCACTTCCACAAGTAAACTTCAGATGTTTTTCAAGGTAAAATGCCAGACTTATTATAGCATTTTTTAGCCATTTAATTTATATTTCTATTATGTTCCTATCTTTTGAAAAACATGCCCCCAATGAAGTTTTTGAGTTTTGTGCTCCAAGTCCCATTTTCCCCATAAGCCCTGAGATTTTTACTGCATGATTTTGTATAATGCAGTGGTGATATTTAGGAATGCACATGACTTGTTGTAATAACACTGCCCCATGCATAAACATGGATAAATCTTGATGTTGAGTTAAAATAGAATATGTGGTAAGCGGGGGGATTGGAAGTCAACACTGGAGTAAGCAGGTTTTTGCTCATTAATTTGTTTGCCTGGGCCCAGAATTGAGGGCTATCGTAGTCATTTCAGGCTGCCATAACAAAATACCTTAGACTGGGCAGCTTACAAACAACAGAAATTTATTTATCTCAGTTCTGGAGGATGTGAAGTTCAAGATCAAAGCACCAGCAGATTCAGTGTCTGATGAGAGCCTTCCTCCTCAAAGATGGTGCCTTCTATGTGTTCTTCCGTAGCAGGAGTTAGCGACCACTCAGAGTTCTCTTTGATAGGTGTACTAATCCCATTTCCAAAGGCCCCACCTTCTATTATAATACTATCACATCAGGGATTAGGTCTCAAAGTACGAATTTTAGGAGGACACGGATATTCAGGCCATAGCAAGGGCTTCACAACTAGACCCTGTGTAATAAGAATTGGATTTATAATAATTCCCACTTTTGCTATGTATAAACACTAGGAACTAAATTATTTTGGAAAAAAGTATACAGTGTGATACTTTTCAGTTCAAAAACAGGCAAAATAATGCATCAACATATTTTTCTGAACATAATACTTAGCAAAACCATAAAGAAAAGGATGAGAATTATAAACAGAAAATCCCTAGAGAGAAGACGGAAGAGGTACAACTAGGAATGGGTAAAGGTCTATTTTGTTAGCTGAATGGTAGGCATATGGGTATTCTTTATACCAATTATTCTTCAAAACATGGTCTGGGACCCCAGAGAATCTAAGACTCTTTCAGAGAGTGTGTTAGGCCAAAGCAGTCAAAGATGTGATATATCTTTGGTACTCTCGTTCTCACAAAAGTGAACAACAGTTTTCCAGCACTACATGACATGATTAGTACAAAAGACTGAAAACAATATCAGTTATAAAAATCTCACTGACTTCTATTAAGCCAGATATTAAAAGATTTGCAAAAATGTACAAACCACTTTTGTCAATAATATTTTTTGTTTGGGAAAAAATATTTTCGTAGGAGTATGTTATTTATCTTAATATGTATTTGCTATTTTTAAATGAATTGATAAATAAATGTTTAAAATTCTCAGTTCTAATACAGTAAATATTGATAGATAATGACCCATGTAAACAAATGTTCTTTTGGGTCTTCAATAATATTTAAAAATATAAAGGAGTTTTGAAGCCAAAAAGTTTGAGAACCACTTTAAACCTTATGGGTGATACGCACATGCACATGCACACACACACGTGGTTTTTTGGATGGATGAAATATTTCAAATTCACAAAGGTTAAAAACATAGTGTAGTGAAAAGACACAAAAAGGACACGTCACCACCACCACCAAGTCATGCTGTGTATAGTAAAAGTCAGTTACAATAGTATTCTACACATAGGTAGGACTTACCGATACTCATTCTGGGAAATACAATCATAAAGTTCTTGGGCAGTAAATTTGACATTTTTATTTACCTGAAAAGATCCAAAATATGGTTACTAAAAATACATATTAAATCAAATGAGCAATGAGAGAAGAATTAGAGTGGCCCATATCCTTAGGGAGAATTTCAAGTTTCTAATTATTGTATAAAAAAGAACTAGCAGTGACAATAAGTTCAGTGACCATAATGCTAACACTGAACTGTGTGTAAAAATATTCATCCAATTGTTACAACTCAATCTGTTCATAGAAGCAGTAGAAGTGAAATGGGTCTAGATGTAGTGGCGATCAAATGGACAGAAAAAAAATGTAATAAAATTATAAAATGTGTGGAAAATTCTACCTGATTTATTCAAACTTTTGATTTACAAACTTTTTTTTTTTCTTTCAGAGATGTAGTCCAGGCTGGAGTGCAGGAGCACAATCCAAGCTCACTGTAGCTTTGAATTCCTAGGCTCAAAGGATCCTCCTGCCTCAGTCTCTCAAGTAGTTGGAACTACATAAACATGCTCAGCTAAATTTTTAAAAACTTTTTTGTAGAGAAGGGGTCTCATTATGTTGCCCAGGTTGAAACAGACATTTTTAAAAGAAATGTATTTTTCAGATTATTGTGGTCTACATATTTAAACTAATATGTTTAAGTTAATAATATAAATATCTATTATAATGCAGATATAATTTATAACACCATAAATATAAAAATTCTTCATCATACAAAAACTAGCTATAACACCTGTATGGAAGACACAGTGAAAGAATTCTTTATTTCTGGAAGCATACTACTGATTTAGGCTATATTCCTATTTGTATGCAAAAAAGAAGTGAACTTGTAGAGGAAAATTCTATTTATCAGATAACTCAACAAATAGCACAGTGCCTAAATTTTCAGAAATGTGGAATTAATGGATGAAAATAAGACTATTTTCTATAATCAACTTTTTAAAAATTTCAAGTGTTACTAGCTGGTATGCATTTTTTGGTGTGGAAGAATGTTCCTACCCTGACTTAATTACTACTAATTTAAAGATTCACATCATAAAAGTTTTCGATAGAATTCAGAGTATTGCTTATATGCAAAAATTCCATGACCTTCTTCAATGCTTTCATAAGAAGTTTACCATATTTGTGTAAAAATATTTCATTTACTGAAAGTTAAAAAACATATAGTTTTCAAATATATTTTAAATGAATATAATCCTAATATTTTGCTTAAAATATTTAGTGTTATTTATATATTTAATATTATACTTAATGACTATATGAAATTGTTATTTAATTTACCATAATTTTAGGTCATTTATAATTTTATTAAAAGACTCTTCTAAAAATATTCTAAAATACACGTACAATTATAGTTAAATTATCAACCAGTCTACTTCTTTACATGTTCTGCCCTTATCTCAAGGGCATTTGATATTTTTGCTATTCCCACACGTCAGTACCTACGATTTATCCAAACTCAGGCCATCAAATGTAAACACATCACAGATGTTTGAACACAGGATGAAGGGAATTATCTGTTTTCTATCAATTGTTGAGAAAAATCAGCTGAAGAACTAATTTTGAACCCAACATAATATTAATGCAAAATAGCTCATTAAGCTTTCAATTGATTTTTTTTTAAAGTATCTAGATTCATCTTTAGTTTTAAAAGCAACCATCCACATACATTTAGACATTTATTCAAGAACACAGCTGGAGGGCAAATGTGACATGGCCTCAGGTTATAGTAGATAACTTACAAGGTAGGCAGTCAATTTATCAGTGAAGAAAAACTGAAGCAAATTTATAATGGTTTAATGTGAAATATCTTGTTGCATTATATTCATTAATTTTGACTACTAAGGGCTAGGCATGGTAGCTCACGTCTATTAATTCTAGCACTTGGGGAGGCAGAGGTGAAAGGATTGCTTGAGGCCAGGAGTTTGAGACCAACCTGGGCAACATATCAAGAACTCATCTCTGGGGGGGGGGGGGAAAGAAAAAGAAAAAAAATTCATTTTGATTACTAAGATATTTTTACTTACCCATATTGGGACATTTTAGATTACACTGTTAAATATCATCTGTATGCTTAAATGCAAAATTTTAATTTCCAGGAAACAAATAGCTAAAAGATGCTGTTGTTAGTAAGCATCAGAGTTGTGACTATAATGTATATTATGGAATTTTGGTATCATTACTTTTTAGCTGTACTACTTACAATGAAAGCCAAATATTAGAAACAGCTCAATTATTTTCAATTCTTAAAAATTCAAAAACAAAAGGCAAAAATTAAGTATAAAAAGTCAGATTTCTTTAAAGATTTAGATGGTCCTACCATTGTTTGTGACATGAGACAACTAACTTTAATGCAGTAATTGTTGTAGAGAAGAACTTCTAAGATAAATTATTTGTAAAATTTGAGAATCAGCTGGGCACGATGGCATGTGCCTGCAGTCCTAGCTACTTGGAAGGCTGAGGAGGACTGCTTGAGCCCAAGAATTTGAGGATGTAGTGCACTATGATTGCACCTATGAATAGCGATTGTACACCAGTCAGGGCAACACAGCAGGACCTTGTCTCTAAAACAAACAAAACATTTGAGATTCAGATCCACACACTCTTATAAATAATGTTAGGCATTTTCTCCTAATACTCTTAGCAATAGGAAGTACTAAACCCAAAAAGACCTATGCTCTAGAATTTTCCAGGATATTTTAAAATTGCCACATTGTTTCTACAAATATATTTTTATTGTTAGATTTAATGTCTCAACTTGAAATTCTGATAGTAAGGTGAAATAATCATATAAATCATCTGAAAAGAGAATGTTACAAAGTATTAAGGCTGATTTTTAAAAAGTACATATGAACACCATTCTTCGCTTAAATTAGACTAGGTAACACTTATTACTCTGTACTTGGTACGGTTAGGAGCACTTTACATGTTATTTAGTCTCTACAGAACACCTGTATTTTATTTACTGTTGTTATTCTCAGTTTACAGATGAAGAAACTGAGACAAGAAAAATCAAATAACTCCTCCTAGAGCATACAGTCAATAAACAGAAGAACCAACATTTTAGCACGGCCAGTTTGACCTCAGAGTCTGTGCTTTTTTTTTTTTGAGTTGGAATCTCAATCCATTGCCCAGGTTGGAATGCAGTGGCACACCCACAGCCACGGCCACCCCAGCGTTGACCTGCTGGGCTCCGGCGAACTTTCCGCCTCAGACGTCCAAGTAGCAAAAACTACAGGCACCGCTACCACGCCTGGCTAATTTTTTGTTGTTGTTGTTATTTATTGTAGATATGAGGTCTCGCCAAGTTGCCCAGACCGGTCTCGAACCTGGGGCTCAGGCAAATACACTCACCTCGGCCTCCCAAAGTGCTGGGATTACAGGCTGAGCCACCGAGCCTGGCCGAGTCTGTGTTCTTAATCACTAGGTTATTAATGGAAAATATGGCATACAAAAAGTTAAATAAAGAGCTAACCAGGAATAAAAGTGAAGAAATAAATTTAAAGGAGTATGACTCTATAAGAAATGTGAGACCTGATATATGCAACATTCCTTCATATAGTATTTTAAAAACAAAACACATGCACACAATTGAAAAGTAGGAATATACAGAGTTTTAGGCAAGTAGAAATTGAAAATAACAATACTTTCCTTGGTTCAGCAATGATGAGGAAAGCATACAGGTTAACTGACAAAATACACTCGAGTCTCACTGCAGCTCTAACTCCAGGGTCTATGCTGCTTCTGTATTGAAACTAAATTATAGCTTTCCTTTCTAGTAATCAGTGGTTCTCAACTAAAGATAGTCCTTCCTTTCTGAGGGCCATTTTGGGTATGCAAGGTGGGTAGGGTGGTGGAATATATTTGGTTATTACAACAACTCATATAGCTATGGGTGTTTAGTACCTGAGGTGCAGGGAAGTTAAACATCCTGCAGTGTTTCACACAATGAAGAAAGGACTTGCCCCAATATGCCAAAGCACTCCTGATAAGAAACAATTCCGTGTTGGAGAAAGTGTGTTATTTTAGGACTCATTTGTAATTTTACTTAGGGAGTAAAAGAAAAAATTGAGTATGTCACCAGCAGGGAGAAGGGCAGGAAATGGGCAGATGTAAGCCAAAGGACAAAAAAGTTGCAGATATGTAGGACGAACAAGTCAAAATGAACAACATGAAAACCATAGTTAATAATATTGTACCATATTCAGGATTTTTTCTAAAAGAATAGATTTTAGGTGCTCTTGTCACATACACACAAAAGGATAATTATGTGAGATAATGAATATTAATTTACTTAACTATGAAAACCGTTTCACTATGTATAGTATACCAAAGCACCATATTATACACCTTAAATATATACAATGTTTAAAAAAGGAAAAAACAGGACGGACACGGTGGCTCAAGCCTGTAATCCCAGCACTTTGGGAGGCTGAGGTGATAGGACTGCCTGCGCCCACAGGTTTGAGAATAGCCTGGGCAACTTGGCAAGACCTCATCTCTACAATTAAAGAAAAAAAAATTAGCTGGGTGTGGTGGTAGTGCATGCCTGTGGTTTTGGCTACTTGGAGGGCTGAGGCGGATCGATCACTGGAGCCCAACAGGTCGAAGCTGGGGTGGCGGTAAGCGTGCCATTGCACTCCAGCCTGGGTGACAGAGTGAGACTCCAACTCAAAAAAAAAGAAAAAAGAAAAAAGAAAAAAGAACATGTCACTAACAAACTTCTGTGGCACTCAGTAATGTAATTTAAAGCAAATATCAATTATATAGCATGCCATTACATTTTAGAACTCCTATTATGTTTATTACATAAAAAACTTGCTTATGGTAGAAATGTGATAAACATTTTAAAATATTTTCTCATACCTCATACTTAATTAAGAAGTTATAGAGGGTTTCAACATCTTGATAATTACTGTTGGGGGCCAAAATCCTAAAAAATAAAAACAAAGGGAGGGGGATAAATTATTTAAGAAAAAAACAATACTTTGAACTTTCTCCCAAACATACCATTACTGTGAGATAATTTACTGTTTAATAGGCTTGGTTTAAATATTTATGTTTTTGTTTTTATCAATTAAAAATTATATAATAATGAGCTTAGTTTAACAGATCAACTGATTAAAATATTTTTGCTTATTTGAATTGATACATCAATTAATCAACACCTATAAGATTCTTACATGTGAGATTATAATTTACATATTGAGCTACAATAATACAAATTTCCCAAGAAGTATATAGAAATATGAAGTACATTTATACTCCACATTTTTTAAGCTGCACACAAAGCTTGAAGATTTCTAGAAATCTTCAGAGAGAAATGTTCAACCAGTCCAAACAGAAAACTGATTTAAACTATCAGACACTAAAATAAATCCTAATAAAAGACTGTGACTAAATTTAAATAACATTGCTTGAACTATCAGTCTCTATGAATGATCAACAGTTATCAGACTATGTCAATTGTTGAGACTAATACTGATTCACAAAGAATAACAAACGACAGAAACAAACATAAAGAGAATATATTTTCTTTCTAGCAGTAAAGTATTAATTCTCATTTTCTTATACTAATTATTTCAGCATTTTTTTTTCTTTTGGAAAAAAAAGAAAAAGGAAACCAGTCTTGTCACAGTCACAGTATAGTGGTTCTGAGTACTGTCTGCTTCAGTTTGTCTAGGTGTGTGACCTTGGGTGAGTTACTTAACTTCTAGGTGATTTATTGTCCTTATCTGTTAGGGATAATAATCTCTACTTCATAAGGCTATTGTGAGAATTAAATGAGTTACTATAAGAAAAGCCATTATAACAGTGTATGGTATATAATAAGCATTTTACAGTATATGTCAGTTATACCAGTAACAATAACAACTATCATTATCATCATCTAATACAGATGTTCCCCAAATTAGGAGGGTGTGCCTAGATGTAATTTATGAGGGCGTGCCTAGATGTAATTTAAAGCAAATATCAATTATATAGCATGCCATTACATTTTAGAACTCCTATTATGTTTATTACATAAAAAACTTGCTTACATCTTGATAAACCCATCGTAAATGGAAAATATCCTAAGTAGAACTGTGATATTTTCCATTTACGATGGGTTTATCAAGACGTAACCTCATAATAAGTCAAGGATCTTACTGAATGTATAACTGTTTTTGCACCACTGTACTGTAAAGTCGAAAAATCCTCAATCAAACCATCATAAATTTGGGACCATCTGCAGTTTCAAGTTGCAAAATAAGTGAATGATGGTATAACTAATGAGAAATCATGACACCTTGATTAATTTTTAAATTCTTAGTGCCTTTTGGTTATCACAATGTCTTTAGGCCTTCATGTTCTTGCCAATGCTTGATACTGTCAGACTTGAGAATTAACTGATCTCAATAATTTTAAGTAACATTTTTAGACTATTTGGGCTTTATTATACTTGTGGAAGAGCTTTTATAAGTACTTTTTCAGGATATATTAATAGTAAAAATTTTAAAGGTCCCTGGCAGGAGCACATACAGAATATCCTGGAATCTGCATAAGAACACCAGTTTCATGGAAATTATTTTTTCTCCCAATATGTAATTTTATAACACAAAAATCTCAAATTAAAAAACAAACAAACCAAATATAGTACACTGGGGAAGGGAGGAATTCTTGTACAACTTGCCTAAAAACATAAAAACAAAGCTATCCAGATCAATTAAACCAGTCTTCTACAGAGGCAAGGGAAAACTAGTGTGTTCTAACTTTGCAACCCAGTGATAACAAACTATTGGCAATGTGGAATAATTTACACCTGTTCTTTTTTATGGCTTTAGAAATAATCCAAACTGCCCATAAGAGGGTGAGAAAGTTATATGGAACAAAATGGTCTATATTAAGAGGCTTACTATAAGCCACAAGTTTCTGATACCAAACACAAACAAGTACTTTACTTCTGGATTACATTGCTCTCTTCATCTATAAATTCTTTCTCTCATAAAAGTACAATTATAGCATAACTAATAACATACTATATTAGAGTTCAGAGACTGAGGCAAACTCCAGTGGATAATGTCTAACACTCACAATGTATATGATGAGTAAATAAAAAAGTAAAATGCATACTAAAGATTCCCCGATCAGGCCAGGCACTATTACTCCTATAATCCCAATGCTTTGAGAGGCCAAAGTGGGAGAATTGCTTGAGCCCAGGAGTTCAAGACTAGGCTAGGCAAGGTTGCAAGATCCTGTCCCTACAACAAATTTTAAAAATTGGTGGTGCAGCAAGCCAGGATTGCACTTCTGTACAATCACTCCAGCCTGGGCAAGAGTGCAAGACCAAATCAGAATAAAGGATCCTTTATTCTTTCATTCAACAAATACTTGAGACTTACTTTGAGCCAAGCACTGTTCTGGGTCCTTGGATACAAGAGTGTAAAGAAAGACAAAGATCCAGAGTAGACCAAAAGCATCATAGTTCTAAAGAGCATGTGAAAGAAAAAAATCATGACCAAACACAAAGAAATAATGAAGAAAAAAAAAATCTTACTTTTGTCCATTTGCCAGCCTCCTCCCACTTTTCAAATGCTACTTGTAAACAAAATAAGTACCACAGGAATTTTAAGTTTCTAAGAAGGAAGTCAATTGTTCCAAATGTACATACTTGATTATTTCACAAAATATCACAGAATTGTATTCTAATAAGGAAAGGTTTATTGGTATGTCAGCATATAAAAGATATACCATTCTTATACTCAGAATAAAACCATCATATTATTTTTAAAAACTAAGATATACATTATATAACTTATTATTTGGTTATAAAATTTGTTTTTTGAAAGAATGGTGTGAGGTAAATTGAACCCAAAAGGCAAGATAACCTTTACTAAAATGTACTCAACTTGGGGCTGAATTTAGACTACATTAGATCCTATGAATTCTGAATATGAGAGAATGGAATTTGGCCTGGCATTTTAAAAATGCAAACTTTTACACACTAGAAGTAAAGCTTGTGGAACACACATAAAAAATAAAATGGAGAAAAATGGCTGAGGAATTTAATGCCTTAGTAATTTCCCACACAAAAATTCTTAGGAGGTCAGCCTTCTCTGAAGTTTTCTCATTCTTTTTTTCCTTTAACAGTAAAAAAACAAAAGAGTTTTACAATAAAAATCCTAAAATTACCACTCAATGGTAATTTTTTAAAAGAATGGCAGAATAAAATAATTAGCTCTTGGGGAAAATGAAATACTTTTCAGAATACGGACATTTTTTGTTTAAAAGAATACTCACATTTGTACTTTCAAAAGAAATTCATAACAATCACAGTAAGTATATATTAAATACATACTACTTGCTCAAATGCATATGGAACCATAGAATATAAAGAAAATTATAGGACATGATTCCCTTTCTTCCAGTGTTAATAATCTTGAAATTTCTCTCTTGAATTCCAGAATGAGTTTTGGGGAACAGATGTTGAAGCAGGATTTAATCTGCACTCACAGCTGAACAAACTTTGGTTTCCTTTATAAAAGCATCAATAATACATAATGACTTATTGAATGCTTAAAGTCTGACCCTGCTTTACATATCTCATCTCCCTGAATTTAGTTATATGGCCATGAATTTAACACCCTTAAATGAGTTATATGATCTAAGTGACCTACCTTTCTGCACTTCAAATCCTCACCTGTAAGGTGGGGGTAAAATAGTGTTTCCCTTATAAAGTTACTGAATGAATCAAATAATGTATCTAAAGTATTTAGCACAATGCATAGCACAGTAAATGTTCAGTAAATATTAGCTGTTATGGTAACCAGTTTTCAGATGTAGAAGCCAAGTTTCAGAATTTTAAGACCCTTGCCCAAGATTACATAGCAAGTGGTGCCAGGTATTCAAATTACTATTGGTTTGACTCTGGAGCTTTTGATTTTCCCACTATTGGGTTTATGCATAAGTTAGTAGCATTTTTTGCTTGCCCATGGAATGCAAATGGTTGACTGGTCACAGTTCATATTTACCAATCTCGGGTTGACTGACACAGATTAAAGCATTTAAATGATCTTCAGCAAAGCACGATGGTCTTCCTGATTGTGGAGAATCACTTAGGTCAAAGTGGCTCTCTTTGAAACAATAAAACCATCTGCTTGACCTTGCCATGTTTTCCTCGATGGCATTCTCCCTGTATATGGCACAAATGTTTCCAGCTGCCGCTGCTGCCTTTACTCCTCTGTTAAACTCAAAAGAATAGGCAGACCGGGCTCGGTGGCTCAGCCTGTAATCCCAGCACTTTGGGAGGCCAAGGTGAGTGGATTGCCTGAGCCCGCGGGTTCGAGACCTGCCTGGGCAACTTGACGAGACCTCATCTCTACAATAAATCAAAAAAAAAATCAGCCGGGCGTGGTAGTGCGCGCCTGTAGTTCCAGCTACTTGGAAGGCTGAGGCGGAAGGATAGCCGGAACCCAGCAGGTCGAGGCTGGGGTGGCCGGGAGCGGCCACTGCACTCCAGCCTGGGCCACAGAGTGAGACTCCAACTCAACAAAACAAAACAAAACAAAAGACACAAAAAGGTTAATTAACCTATGGAGGTGACAAAGCTGGTAAAAAAATGGACCAGGATTCAACTTCAGATCATTCTGACCCTCAAAGTTCTCTTTTCATTTTAATACATGACATGTCTGAACAATACTCTCAAATTGGATATTGCTAATAATGAATTTAAGCTATATTAAATTGTATTAAGTTGTATTAAACTAAACTGATAAACTAGGTGAAAATTTATCAAATCAATAAGGAAACACTGGGGGGAAAAAGGCTTGGATTTCTTCTGACACTTTTTGAGGGGGTTATTTATTACAAGTAAAATTAAATAATATATTTGTCTATAGATAATTTGGAAAATCGGTTATGCAAATGGGAAATATCCATCAGTCCCAGATTTTT